TCAGCCCTGAGAGCACAGGCCCAGAATGCTGAGTTACTACATGTGGGGCTCCTAGCTCATCAAGGAGAGTTGGATTGGGCCCCAAAAGGCACAGATGCTGCAGCACAGGCCAAGAAGTCGCAGTGGGGTAGCACTTCCCAAACTGGCCAGGTGGTCTGTGGATGATGCCTGGCCTGGGCATCCTGGAGGGCACCTCTCCCATCCCCAGCCTGAGCCCCACATGCAGTAGCTCTGTCTGCTGCCAGCTGCTGCCAGGAAGGTGCCTTTGGCTGAGTAAAGGTTCACTAAGGGCTACAGAGGTCCCTCACTAGGCTAGGACTGAGGAAGTTGGCTGTTCCCCTCTCTGTAGAGTAAAGGCCAGGCTTCATAGGGAAGCGGAAGCCCTGTCTGAAACCATGGAAGCCCAGGCAGCCCACCCTCCTTCCTGGTGCAGGTTGTAGGCCCTACTTCCTGAAGGTGTGACATCTCAAAGGAGTCACCAAGGATCTCACATGGAGCTGAGCCCTACTGAAGGCCCCCCCCCCCCCAAGACAACCCTTTATTCAGCTAGCTGTCATTTTCTGAGTGTCTACTGTGGGCCAAGATACATAAATGGACAGGGTAGTCCCTGCCCGGAAGGCCTCTGTATGTCACAAACCAGCAGGACCAAAGGGAAGTTAAGTCATAGGAAATCCAGGCAGAAAAGCCTAGGAGCACCCGACACTTAGAAATGACTAGTGTCTTGGGGCACCCCGTTATGCATACTGGAGAGGAACAGAAGGCCAAGGAGGAAGGCACACTGAGAAACGTGTCTGGTGGAGCTGGAACGAACCAGCCACATGCAGACCCTAACCACAGCTCTCAGCAGCTCAGCACCTGCCCTGTGCCAGGGATAAAATGCTGTTTCCCATGCAAGTGTTTATGGTGTCCTCACCCCATCCCACGAAGCCATAACCACTACTATCATCATTTCCCTGGTTCAGAAACTGAGGCTCAGATACAGTTACAGAGCTGGGAAATGGAGCTCCCGAGTGCAATGCCGGGCCACACGGCATGCTACGTGCTCGAGCCCTGTCAGGCAGAATGGAGGGAACAGAACAGCTGAGGGCATTGCTCAGCCCACTGTAGTGAGGCTGGGGTGTGCATGTGTGTGCCGCCTGAAAACCAAGTAATGGCTGGCCGGTGGCAGGGCCTGGAAGGGATGACCAGGAAGGACTTAGCTACGTTCACGCTGGACAGACATGAGAGCTAGCCTCGTTACCTCTGCTCCTCTCAGCTGCTTCGGCGTGCTTGGCCCGTGTGTGTCAGCTGCTGACAGGAAGCCCACTGTGGTGCAGGGGGATTCCCAGGAGTGAGTCAGGAGTAAGTCAACTGGACAGACCCCAGCTGGACCCTGCAGGGCACTGCCTTCAGGGAGGACTCCTCCCAGCAGGACAGCATCAGCAGCTGAGGGGAGGGAAGAACACATCTGGACCACTGGGCCCTGTTTACCTCTGGGCTTCCCCTTCAGGCTTCTCAGACCCAGGCTGGCCCTTTCCTGCTGAGATTAAACAGGTCACCTCCCCCAACTCCATCCTGCCCCACAGAAGGGTCCAGGCCAAGCAGCCTGGGTTCTACCCACCCTTCCCACCAGCTGCCTCTTGCAGAGCCAAATTCTGGCTGTTTGATGCTACTGATTGTATCATGGCTCCAACCCAGCTTTCCACAGGGCAGAGGAAGTGGGCAGAATGGTTTAGAGCAGCGGCCAAGGCCAAGGTCTCAAGGCAGGAGAGCCTGCAGGCTCCAGACATTTTAAACCCAAAGCAGTGTTCAGGGCCTGGGCTGCTGGGTTAGGTGCCAGTGTCTTGGGACAGCCCCTCCCTCCAATGAGGATCAGACCTTGTTTGGTCCTCAAGTGAAAGAGTTAGGTCCCCAAGGTGGAGGGAGTTGCCAACCATTGGGAACTTCCTCTTCTAAAATAAGGGGATGCCCCTGCATGTAAACTTTAGCCCCAGGGAACCAAAAGCCATTCCTTGTGGGAAACTTGGGCCCAGACAGCTGATCTCTCCATCCTGCCTTCCCTGGGCTGAACAGGGAAGCCTGGGTACTTTTCCCACCCATCCTGAACAGATGCCCACTGCTAGGGGCGCAGGCTCCCAACTCAGCCCAGACTTCACTTCTTCATGGGTGAACACAGGGCTTTCTGGGGCTACCACCCTATCACTCAACAGCATTCATCCTCCCTGTGACTATCACCCACTTAGTGCAATCACCTTCATGAGCCCCGACGGGGCCCCAAGGGCAGGCACAGCTGGATCTCCCCCGTATCACTCTTGGCTGGCTGTCTTTTCTAGCCTGTGCTCTCCTTCAACCAAAAGTCCCCTAGACTTGTTGGTCCTTTGCCCCTGCGTATCTAGCGCACACAGTGTCAAACCTTGTACCATCCCCCACCCTCCGTGCACTCTAAACCCTTCAATGGTTTGTCTCACTTTCTATGATCCAAGCCTAAGCTTTTCTTATTAGCATTTAAAGCCTTTCTGGAGTTCATCCTACCTACTACCCGTGCTTTGCATACCCTGAAAGCTCAGTTGTAGCCAGCCCAGTGTTTCTCAACCAGTGTTTCATTTGTGGGGGTCAAATGAGACCACAGAAAACACAAGACATTTACATTATGATTCATAACAGTAACAAAATTACAGTTATGAAGTGGCAATGAAAATAATTTTATGGTTGGGGGGGTAGTCACCACAACATGAGGAGCTGTATTAAAGGGTCGAAGCATTAAGGTTGAGAACCACTGAGCTAGAAACTCAACTCAACCATTTACAAGAGCTCGCTCAACAGGCTCACCTTGCCTTTGAGATCTTCCTCTGTCCAAGACGCCTTCTGTCCTAACTTTCCAGTCCCTAAGGTCCCAAAGGCCCCTCCCATCCTTGCTTTGAACATCTTGTGTCACATTCCCTAATTCAAGCCCCTTCCCAGATGCTGAGCAGCCCAAGGGCGAGGGCCCGGTGTCATGTCATAGAATGGGAGTGGTGGTGAAGGGGACCCATACACACCAGGCATGGTTCTACCAAGGCTGCTCCCTCCTCCCTGTAGCAAATTCTCATCTAATGCCACTGAGATGCTGACATCCGTGGAGCAGGGAGTGTGTAGGCCCGAGCTTAATTGAGGACTGGGGAGTTCAGGCAGAAAGTCTTGTTCAAGTCACACTCCTACCCCTGCTACCGGCCATGGTTCTCCAGAGTCTCCTGACAGACTCAACACACACACACACACACACACACACACACACACACACACACACACACACTCACACAGAGTCTCCTCCACATGGCTCAGCCTTCAGCCTGGGTTTCCAGTACACTTTCTATCTGACTCCACAACATGGGCTCATCTCCCCCCCAAAATGCAGGGCCTCACATGTAGTACCTTCCATCCTTCTGTGCCCATCCCTGCTCACACAGATTGTCTGCTCGTCCTGCCCCAAACTGAGCCTCCAGCCACTAGAGCCTCACAGACCCCTGAGACTTCCCCTGAATGGACCCAGGCCGTGAGAGAGCCTCTCCAGGAGGGAAATGGGATGGGGGAGCCTCACAGCACCTCAGGAGGAGGGCAATGCCAGGTCCACGTGAGGATACATGTCTACATCCTCCAGCTCTGTCTTGTGTGCAGTACCCATCAACTCCAAACACTGTTATGAACTCAGGCACTGTTTAGTCCAGGTAACATACTTTCTGACTCACAATTAACAAGATGACGGTGACTGGCGTCTGTTTCTGACTCTGGTGAGGTCAAGGGTGGGACAGCTGCAGCTACCCAGCAGCCCTCCAAACCAGACCAAACCCCAAAGACAGGTTTATTTCCCAGAAGGAAGGCAACATATCACCTGCCCACTGACATCACAGGAGGCTTCTGGGCACCCAATGTCTTGTTAGGCATTGTACACACGGCTTCACTTAGTTCTTGTTGCTACTGTTAGGTCACTGTCCCCCAAGTCACAGATGAAAGTAAAGTTTGAAGGGGGAATGGAATCCAAGTCGGCTGAGTCTCAAAGCCTAAATCCTTGACACAGCCAGGACCCGGGACCCAGGACCCCGGACCCCCACCCCCTTTAGGACTGGAGCCCCTCAGCACAGATACCTAATCCTGGGCATAGCCGGGAGCTCCAGGGCTTGGCTAGATTCTAAGTAGGTTTTCTAGGGTTTTGCCTTCTACTCCGCATTCACCTCCAAAGAGAGTTACTCCTTCGGTAACCCTCCGGGGGGGCCTCTTCCACCTGCTCACCTGGAAAAGTCTGGCTAGGTTTCCACTTCTGAGCTCAGTGGAGCGCTCAGAAGTTGGAAGGAGGGAAAGAATGTTAATTGCCTTGCTTTGGGGTCCCTTCCTGGGACTCAATAACCCAGAGTGACATATCAAGTGGTTTTTCTCTCGGTGGCATTTTGCAGCTGAGGTCTAGCTACGCGGGTGGCCTTCACCTGCTAGCCCTCACCTTCCGGGGTTCTGGTGAGAAAGGGCACTCCGGGAGCACGGAGCTCACCTCAATCAACTTCCTCCTTCTGGAACCCGAGGAGCTCAGGGCTGGGGGCAGGGACCGGCCCAGGGCCACACGGCTGCTGTGTGGTGCAGTCAGAACTAGGGAGTTCGGACTCGGAGGCGAATGATCTTTCTCAGTCCGCTCTGGGTCTTGTTACCTGTTGCCAAGCGGGCCCTGAAGTCTGCAGAAGTTCAGGCGAAGCTAAATTTGCTTCCGATTGTCCCGCCCCCTCCCCCATGCCCCTCTTACCTGCTGTCTCGGTCCTGGCTACACGCCGAAAGTCCGGCTTCCTCAGCTGGCGCCCCGGCCCGCGTCTGACTGCGCAGCTTGGCTCAGTTCTTCCACTCTCCCCTGCCACCCCCTCCCGGAGTCAGTCCAGAAGCTCAACGGCCTCGTCCGGCCACGCCACGCCCCCCCCCGAGACCACGCCCTCGACACGCCCCTTATAATGCTCCGCTCCCAGCCCGGCGGAAGGTAGCACCAGGCTCCGCCTATCACAGCCTCCTGGTCCAATCAAACGGTCACACCCCTTGGCACACCCCTGAGCTGCCCTTTGCCAACCCTCCAGCTCCGCCTCCGGCCCTGCAGCCTGGCTCCCAGCAGAGCTCGTCCCTGCCCACTACAGCCTGGAGGTGAGGCCATGGACGGGCTTTCTCCAGAGGATGAAGCCCGCCTAGGACCCCAGTCTCTGCCTTGTTTTCTGTGCCCTTCCAGCCTCTAACAGCCCTGCCTAACGGTCCTTCCCCCTGAGGTCTCTCTCACCCTTCCCAGTTCCCTCCTAGGCTGCTGGCGATCCTCCTAAGCCCTTCGTTCTCCGCCTCCATCTCTTTCTCTAGGGGCTTACCCCTGGGCCTCCAACTGGGAGGCTCCGCCCCTCCCCGGGGGTTCTCTGCTCCGCCCTGATTTTGTTCCCCCTGGCAACCCCTGCTCAGGGCTGCAGGCCTGGGGGCCCCACGCTGGCATTCTAGGACTGGCGTATCCTGGTGCAACCCGGGAATGGCGTGGGAGCGTTCGCGTTCCAAGACTAGGCCTCCATGTGGAGGCGGTTCAGACCCAAGCACTTTCTGAAAATACTAACAGCTACCAGTGTTTGAATCCTTGCTCAGAGACAGGCTGATTAGTCAAGAGCTGTGAAAGCCATGATCCTTGAGTTCTGCTACTCCTGGGCTACTTTCCTTGTGCCCATTTTACAGATGCCCAACCCAAGCTTTAGAAAGGGGAAGTCGTGGGCTAGAGTCCAACAGCGTAGTTGTTTGTGAACCATTCCCACGTCTCCAGTCACAGACTTAGGCATGTCCTAGCTTGCCTGGACTCTGGCCCTTGAAGAAGTGGCCCAGGCCAGCAAGCTGCTGGTACAGCAGGCAGATGAGGGTGTGGCAGGAGAGGGCTGAAGGCCTGAGCCCTCCATGGCTGGCTTCTCCCTTTAGAAGGTGGGCTGCCAAAGATCTCCAGATGTCTGCACACCCTACCCTGCATGTCCAGACTGTGGACCAGCCTCAGGCAGATTACCAGGTTAATGATCAGAGCCCTTAACCTGTGAGCTGACAAAGCTCTTTCAGCCGCACCGCATTATCTCACTGGCATCTCACGGCAAGCCGCTGTGGGGAGGTTATGAATGAGGCTGCTTTGCAGGAACCCAGAGGGTAGGGAGCACTGGATGCCCCGTGGTTCTCCAGGCTCTGTCCTCACCCCAGAAGCCCTCCCACTGCCTGGGAACTTGTTAGGGGCATGTTTGGGGTTTGAGACATCCCAGAACAGAGTGAGAAACTGCAATGGTTGGTTTTCACAAGGTTTCCAGGTGATTCTGAGTCAGCCTTGAGTTTGAGAGCCACTATTGGAAATAGATGAACACCTTAGGGTGGGTTGAGACTCACAGGACCTAGGTAGACCTGGCAGCCGCGTAACCCAGGGCAAAATAAAGCACTTAGAATGCGCCTTTAAGAAGGGACTAACAGCCAGGTAAGGCGGCTCACATCTATCCCAGCACTCAAGAGGTAGAGTCAGAAGGATCAGGAGTTTGAGGCCAGCCTTGGCCACACAGCAAGTTTGAGGCTAACATGGGCTGCATGAAACCATGTCTGAAAAAAAAAATGAAAGAAAGAAAAAGAAAGATTAATAACAAAAATATTAATGCCAATTCTGAGGGTGGCCATTGGAAATAAAACTTTAATTTGGTTTTTGCTTTTTTGAGACAGGGTCTCATGCAGCCCAGGCTGTTCTCAAATTCTGATCCTCCTCCTCCAGCTTCCTGAGTGCTATGCTAAAGGACACAAGCCACTGCTCCTGGCTTGGAGATGAGGAGAGATGCTCTTCACCGAGAGTTCAGCCTGGAGTATGGACTAAGGCAGGTATGGTGGAATAAGCTGAAGTCCCAGTACATGGGAGGTAAAGGCAGGAACATCAGGAGTTCAACGTCATCCAGGCTGTCTCCAAAAATGGGTAATGAATTAATCAAACAGTTTACACACTACATTTAGGAAACCAGTTAGAGATGGTTCATGGGTTAAGAACACTTGCTGCTCTTCCAGAGGACCAGAGTTTGGTCCCAGTACCTAAGTTGAGAAAGTTACAATAACATGTAACTCCAGCTCCTACCAATCCCAAACCCTCTTCTGGCTTCTGAGGTCTTTGTATATGTGGCATGTACACACACACACACACACACACACACACACACACACACATACACACACACAGCCCATGTAAACAAATAAATAAAAATAGCTCAGGGAACATGGACTGTCCTTTCCCCAGATGACAACCATTTATTCCACAGGATGCCATGATCTCGCCAAGTTCCCAGACCCTGTGGATGCTGCTGGTGCAGGGCCACGGTGAGAGAACAGGTATGCTGCTGAATCCTGGGCTGGGTGCTAAATCTTGACCCTGTCCGGCCTTTGCCAAGTGGCCGTAGAATTCCCTCCCTCCCACCCTGCTTGGGTCTGCCTTGGTCTTTGTGATGTTTGTGACGGTGACTTACAGATGGCTGTTGGGTGACAAAACTTTTACTGAGGGGATGCAACGTACACAACAACTCACCCCAGATAGGGAGCCCATAACAGACCAAAGTGTGGATGCCACCAAAGTCCAACTTAGTGAAGCAATGAGTTTTACTGGGGTGAAGCAGAAATGACCCAAAGGTAGCTGCGTTACCAAAGCCCACCCCAGCGTGGGGGACAGCTCACAAAAGCTGGGAACCTGGAGCACACAGCACAGCCTGTAGGCAGCTCAACCGGTTGGAGAGTATCCTTTCCAGGTGATTCAGTTGGGCTAAACCTCTTCCAGTCTGGTTCTTTTTTTTTTTTTTTTTTTTTTTTTGGTCTGAATCTTCTCTGTAGTTTAGCTTATCTGGGGCCCTGGTGCTGTTGTCCAGGCCTCGTTTAGCGCAGGAAGCCCAAATTCAGAGTGCAGTTGAGGTGTGTTTCCTCAGGCCTTGAGCAGTTGACAGACCATACAACAAAGGGTCCCCCTCCTGCCTCCACCATCACCTTCATAGCCTTCAGCAAGACCGTGCTCGACTTTAGACTTCCTGGATTCTGCATCTCCATGTAAAAGTAAGAAGATCACATACCCCACCAGGGATAAAAAAAAAAAAAAAATAAGAGCGGGTGAGGAGGTCAGCTTGACTCCAGATCTGGGCCACCCACCTGCTTCTCTTCTTGTCCCCATTTCCATCTGGTGTCAAACTGGACAGGATTCAGTCATGAGGATGCTCCAGCCCGTCTGTCCAAACTCTCTCCACAGCCACTGTCTCCGGGGGCTGCACACCTGTGACAGGGCCACTTGTCTGGGCACAGAGGAGTGAGGAGGGTTGGGTCACTCTTGAGGCAGGCTGTGTGTGTGCCAGCCGGACAGAGATCCCAATGTTTCCACACTGAGGCACGGTCAGGATGACCCGGTGGACGCGGGTGCCCCTCGTGTCTGGTGTCTAGGTCCCCGTCTCCTAGAACTCATACACAGTGTCTGGAACCCTAAGGGGTAGTCCTGGGTGGATACAGACACTGCTACTCATTTGCTGGGATAGATGGATGTCTCTGCATTGTTCCCCCTTCTCTTCCAGCCTTACCGAACTTCTGGTGAAAGACACCATCTGGTATGAAATTCTTAGGCCGTTCCAGAGGTGAAGCCAGTAGTTCTGGAGGTGAGAAGAGCCACTCTAGAAGGCTTCGCAGAAGAGCTCAAATGGCCAATTGGAGGGTGGGGGATGGTGACTAGACTTTTAAAGAAATGTGGTCATGGGGTTCCCAGACCACAGAAGATTCCACAGTTCCTCAGGTGGCAGAGGGGCCAAGGAACAGAAGACCTGAAGTCATGAGCAAGAGCGTAGGCATTGTAGGCATCAGGTTCTTTGGGTGCCTGGTTCCAGCAAAGACTCCAAAACCTCTGCACAGCTCAGATGGAGAGGAAGAAAGGCTGTCTACATTGTTATTGTGTTAATCCATTTTGCATTACTATAAGCAACATACCTGAGGCCAGAAGACTTATAAAGAAGTCTGACTTGAAACACGTTCTTCAGGGCAAGGTCCACATCTGGTGATGTGATGTATGTTGTTGACAGGGTTTCCACTAGCCCAGGGCTTCACAGTGTAGGACAGAAATGCACTTGTGTGTTGTCACGGTCAGTGTTCTGTTGCTGTGAGGTGACACCACAACCATGGCTGCTTTTACAAAGGAAAACATTTAATTGGGGCTGGCTTACAGTTTCAGAGAGTTAGTCCATTATCAACGTGGCCCATAGCATGAAGACGCACAGGCAGACATGATGCTGGAGAAGTAGCTGAGAGTTCTACATCTGGATCCACAGACAGAAGGAAGAGGGCTTTTGAAACCTCAAAGCGACCCCCAGTGACACACTTCCCCCAACAAGGCTGTACCTACTCCAACAAGGCCACACCTCCTAATCCCTCTCAAGTAGTGCCACTCCCTGAGGACCAAGCATTCAAATCTATGAGCCTCTGGAGGCCATTCTTATTCACACCACCACAGTGCACCTCTGTAGTCCTGGTATTTGGTACTCGGGAGGTGGGAGCAGGAACATCAGGAGTTCAAGGTCAGCCTCAAGAAAGGTGGAAAGGGGAAGAGAGGAGACAAGGAAAGAAGGGAGGGAGGGAGAGGACAGTCACAATGTGTAGTACAGTCCTCCCCTCCCCAGGGCCCTCAGTGTGGCTTCCTCGTAGCAAGACTGATGTTCTGCAGAACAATCTAGGAAACAAGGAAGGTGCATGCGGCGTCTTGTGACCCAGCCTTGGAAGTAAGGTGTGTCTTCCTTTCCAGTCCACAGTGGAGCTCAGAAAGGACCACCCTGTTCAGAGGGAGGAAATGGCTCAGCCTCCTCTCTGAGAAGGTGGGGTTCTAGGCTAGTCGCTGGCATGGCAGAAGCGGCTGCAGGCTTCAAATGGGTCCTCAGCGATGTGGGGTAGAATTTCCTTTGACGAGAACTGGGAATCTAAATTAAATTGAGTTAAAGCAAGAACAATCTTCCTTTCAGAATTCTCTGGACAGAGGAAGCCCCTCCTGCCCCTTGGCTGGCCCTGTTTCCTTGACATTGTGAACCTGAACCGATTTTTCCCACCCCCCCAACAATGCCCATTCTTAGGATGCCTGCTTCCCACATGTGGGAACAGAGGTACCGAAAAGCATTTGCCCAAGGTCACGGTCATGAAGGAAAGGGAAAGGCTAATGTGGCCAACTCTGTGGCAGCTCACAGCTGGCTTCTGCACATCTCAGCTGCAGAAACTGAGCGCCACAAAGCTTTGAATTGGACCTCATCCAGGACCCAGATTTTGAGCACCCAGTACCAAAGGCCCGCTCTGGACCAGAGAGCTTCCTCAGAATCCAGGGAACTAGTCACATCTAATTGTAATAAAGGATGCTGGCCCCAGAGAGCCAGCTCCAGAGTACCCCACATATCTCTGTCCCACCACCTCTGTACCTTACCCGTGTCTGGGTCCATCAAGTCCCATCAGCATCTCCAGTCTGTGGCATTGGAGTACGTTCCATTGAGACACTGGCCTTCATCGTCTTGGCCAATGACCCATAAGGCTCTGACCTCTTAAACCCATTCCAACTGGGTCACAGCCAGGGCAAGGGCCTTGTTCCCATAGAAGAGCCTGGGTGCATTCTAGTGGCAGCCACTTAACAAAGATCAGCCAGACTTGATGGCATCCACTGCCCCTTGCTACCTCCGGAAGTCCACGGAGACCAGGAGACTACCCCACCATGGCCCGGGGGTGGGAGGCTTTTAGCATTATTAGGGTAGTAACTGTGGCAACCATGGTTTTAAAAGTAACCAGTTACAGAATCTCAGCAGCAGTTCTCTGTCTGAATGGGGGATGGAACCCAGAGGCCTGAACCTACCAGACAAGCGCTTGACCACTGAACTACACTCCCAGCCCCTGCCATGCATTAAAAAAAAAAAAAAACTACTAGTTTAAGTGTATCCACTAATTTACTAACTTGGCTACACTCTACATTTCATAAAGATGTCATTAGTTGACAATCTCTGCACCTGGATCACTATCCATTGTTGTTGGTTTTTTAATTCAGCTGTCCATGGTTTTTTGGTCTTTTTAATGGGTTTTGGGTCTGGGATAATTTTCATTGTTTAGGGCAGTTGATTACAAGTTGTTGTCAAGGGTTAGGACAAAGGCTAACCAGATTAGATTTAAGGTTCTTGTTTAAAAAAAAAAACAGAGAAAGAAAGAAGAAGAAAAAGACAATTACTAGTTTTAAATATTTTACATTGGATTGGATTGTTTTATATTGTATACAAATTATATATATATTGAAATTGATATTGTTAGAAAATGCTATATGTATATTTCTAATTGTACTTATACCGTTCATTTAACAATGCAATTTTCTGATCCTTGAATGTTATTATTACCAACTATTAGGATATAAAGAAATGAAAGTTAGTAGTTAGACATTACAATAGAACTTGTAGTCATATTAGATATGTTTTAAAAATTGAGCAGAGGCCGGGCAGTGGTGGCGCACGCCTTTAATCCCAGCACTCGGGAGGCAGAGCCAGGCGGATCTCTGTGAGTTTGAGGCCAGCCTGGGCTACCAAGTGAGTTCCAGGAAAAGGCGCAAAGCTACACAGAGAAACCCTGTCTCGAAAAACCAAAAAAAAAAAAAAAAAAAAAATTGAGCAGATATATTTTAGACAGGTTATCTTCAAACCCTTCAGAGATCTACAGAATATGGCATTTAAAATGTTTTAATAACTTAGAAAATTTTTCTTTTTTGTTATGATTATGAGACATGTCGGCTCCTGGCAGTACCAATCTACTTCAGAGAAAATATGGGCATTGAAGAAACTGCATATGGAGTTAACTTTCATTGTGGCAAAAGTTAGCCACTGGACAACAAAGTATCCTCGAATTAACTGCTGACAAAATGGACAGACAGGACATGAAACAAAGGACTACTGATTCTTGCCAAAACAAGTGTGGTTATGGCTTTATCAAAAGGCATCTTCTGAGGCCAGGATAATATGGCACCATCCCTGAAGTGGCCTTCGCAATTCGGAAAAGGTACAGTGCCCTTTTCTTCAAAGGCAGCTGAACAGGCAGTGGGCCGATGGCCTCTGATGTGCAATGGAACAGCAGCTGAAACAGTTATTCTTGAAGAGTAACTAAGCTCACGCCCCTCAATAGTAGACTGGCATTTGATAGAGGGATGTGGAGAAGAACGGGATGCTGAGATGAAGCCATATATACACAGCCAAAAAGAATGGACAGCTGAATTAAAAAACCAACAACAATTTCCAGAATTTAAAATCCTGAATCATGACATGACACTAGTGGAATTCAGGTGTTTCTGGTACATGGACTGCTCTCACCCAATGTGAGGTTGAACTGTTGACCTTGTGTACATCCTACTTCACAAATGAGTCTGTCAGATATGCTAAGCCTATAGGCTAAAGATGATGCCCCAGCATTGCGGAAAAACCTCAGGTGACTGTCCAGGCAGCTGGCTGTTTCTGTCAACTCACAAATTTTTTGGAAGTTGCTTGCATGCACTTTCTGTTTTTATTTTTGTTAGCTAATATTATTTCCTTCTTGGGTCTCTGAGGGAGTTAAAGATTAGTTAGTTATAGTTGAAGGTTAGTTATAGTTAAAGATTAATTAAGATAGAAAGCAAATTAGATACATTTTGGACTTAACAAAATAGAATAGATAATAAAATTATTTTCTCTGAATTTGTCAAATACAAATGGACTAGACATTGTTTAGACATTTATTACTTGTATATATTGTATATAGTCATTGTACTTTTGTATATAGTTTTTCTTTTGTTAGTTATAACCTTTTTCTTTTTTTTCCTTTTTATTAAAATAGAAAAGGGGAAATGTGGTTGTATTTTACTTGTACTGAAATGTGATTTTAATTGTATGTTAATAAATAAAGTTGTCTGGGGGTCAGAGCTATTAGAGCCATAGCAAGTGCGTGGCGGCAGTGGCGCACGCCTTTAAGGACCTGGAGGGTGGTACATTCAGGCAGTGACGAGGCAGTCACATGTTTGGGTTTACAACCAATGAGAAGGCAGAACAGAAAGACTATAAAGACATACACACAGGAAGTAGGTTCGCTTTTCGGAGAGCTCTCTTGGCTGAAGAGGATCCCTGAATCAGGAAGGGTGAGGCTCTTAGCTCTGACCTCTTGGCTTTCTTCTCTGAATCGGCTCTGTGTTTCTTATTTAATAAGACCGTTGGTTACATCTACAATCCATTAATGTCTTCATCCACAATTTTCTGTCACAACTGCTCTTTTTCCTTTGCCGGCATAGGCTCAACTCCATGATGGGGCCCGGGTACTTCAAACATTCATGACGCTCCATCTTAGCAGCTGTGGGTGTATTTATTCTTCTTGTTTATTTGTTTTGAGGCAGGGTCTCTCAAGTATGTAGCTCTGGCTGTCCTGGAACTCACTATGTAGATCAGACTGGCCTTGAACTCACCAGAAATCCACCTGCTTCTGCCTCCCAAATGCTATTATTTATTCTCTTAAAAATTATTTATTTAGAGACAGATCTCACTACATGGACAGAGAGCTGGGATTAAAGGCATGTGCCACCATGCCTCCACAAGATTTGTTTTTATGATTTTTATTTGTGTGTGTGTGTGTGTGTGTGTGTGTGTGTGTGTGTGTGTGTGTGAGAGAGAGAGAGAGAGAGAGAGAGAGAGAGAGAGAGAGAGAGAGAGAGAGAGAATACCATAAGTGTGTGGGTACCCAAGGAGGCTAGAAGAGAGGGTCCGATACCTTGAAATGCAGTTTTAGACAGTTAGCCATTGAAGTAAGTGGTGGGAACTGAACCCAGGTCTTCTGCAAGAGCAGTACAAACTTTTAACTGTGAGCCATCTCTGCAGCCCCTGTGAGTTTATCTGTAACTGATATTCCTGGGATGCTTTACTAGGTATTTTGCCTATTATGAACCATGCGCCAACATGAATTTAAGAATATTTTTGAAGCAGTGACTTCAGATATCCAGCATTCATGTAGTAACTATAAAGCAGCCCTGCCATTTCCTGCAGTAGACCATGGAGATCATTATCCACAGCCTTCATGCTCCTGCGTGAGGGCCGCTGGGTAGCAAAGCCAGCATGTTGGAGACTCGTGCTGTGTGGCTTTTGGTGGGGAGACGTGAACAAATGTCCCCTCAGTTCAGGCATCCACAATGCCAGAGCAAAGACTCAGACCCAGCAGTCTAGCTGGGTGAACCAGCCGGGGGCTCTTGGACCTAGTTACTTCAGGGAGCACAAATGACCCTCAGGCAGCTGCAACATCACCCCAAAGCCCTTCCCAGCAGGGGTGCCATCTCGGGAAGGCTGCATCCCTGCAGCTCCCTTCAGGCAAACATCTTCAGTGAAGAGTCTCCTCTTTCTAGCAAGGTTACTTTGTAACCATGGAGGGGCCTGGAGAATTCTGTACATTGCTGAGGACCAGGAGCCTTGGACACTTCCTTCACTTTCTGAATCTTCTGAGCCTCTCTCCTCCCCTCGGGAGGGAATGTTTCAGCTCAGAGGAAACAGCTACACGAAATTCCCCTAAACAATTTCATGTCCAGATCACCATCCACCCAGAGGTGGATGAGAAGGATGGGAAGGAGAAACATGAAGAACAGCCCTGGCACTGACCTGGGCTGGAGTGCAGGGTACCAGTGGGAGAGCCTTTGCTATGTCACACCCAGATCAAACAAAACACTCTCCAGCTGGGTTGGTGGTGGTACATACTTAATCCCAGCACTCCAGAGGAGGCAGGCCAGCTTGGTCTACAGGGGGAGTTTCAGGCCAGTCAAAACAAAACAAAAAAATTCCAGCAGCCCCAAAAGCCTGTGGTGGGCAGCATAGACATTCTCTCCCTGAGACTTAAGTGGGAAAAGTTTTGAATCTGTTGCCATCGTTTAAAAACTAGGAAATTGCCAGGCGATGGTGGTGCACGCCTTTAATCCCAGAACTTAGGAGGGAGAAGCAAGTGGATCTCTGTGAATTTGAGGCCAGCTTGGTCTACAGAGCGAGTTCCAGAACAATCAGGGCTACACAGAGAAACCCTGTCTCAAAAACAAACAAACAAACAAACAAACAAAAACAAACAAAAAAACCAAACAAACAAACAAAACCCCCCAAACTAGGAAAATTTACATTAACATTTAACTGTGTACCTTCTGGTAAAGGGAGAGTATCTCTGGTAGACCTGGGCTGCAGCTGGTAGACCTGAACTGCAGCTGGTAGACATGGGCTGCAGCTAGTAGACTTGGGCTGCAGCTGGTAGACATGGACTGCAGTTGGTAGACTTGGACTGTAGCTGGTAGACATGGACTGCAGTTGGTAGACTTGGACTGCAGCTGGTAGACATGGGCTGCAGCTGGTAGACTTGGGCTGCAGCTGGTAGACATGGACTGCAGTTGGTAGACTTGGACTGCTGCTGGTAGACTTGGGCTGCAGCTGGTAGACCTGGATTGCTGCTGGTAGACCTGGATTGCAGCTGCTCACTCCAATTGCAACATCCATCCTCCAGGGTGCCACAGTCCCCCAACCCCCTGATGCACCCCATCCATTTGTCTCCTTTCTGTCACTTGCCAGGTTCCTATAGGGACATGAATTCCTATTGGAATCATGGATACTAGCTGACCTTCCAGCTGCATCATACAGCCTTCTGGTGTGAGATGGCTCTAGCCCATGCTCTGTTTTCTTATCACATGACCTTGGGCATTGGCCCCTCTAGGGACTTCTTTGTGCTTGTTTCCTCCTCACCTGTGAGCTGCTGCATTTTACACAAAATATGAGGGAGGATGAGCTCCTTGCTCTAAAATGAAGTTATATATCGCCCCCTGGTGGCCATAGTTGTCAACGCAGCCAATCAAATGCCAGGGAGAGAAACCAGAGTTGAAAGGTGGAGGGGAGGGGGAAAAGAAAGGGGGAGAAAGAAAGGAGGTAGGGAGGGAAGGAGAGAGAAGAGAGGGGAGAGGAGGGAGAGAGAGAGAGAGAGAGAGAGAGAGAGAGAGAGAGAGAGAGAGAGAGAGAGAGAGAGAGAGAGATTGTTTTCTCTGTGTGTTGTCACCTCCCTCAACCAGTTGGGGTCTCAGGTTAGCCCCTATGGCCTGGGGACCAGGAGAAGGAATTTAGACCCCACACAAGGATTCAACAACAGACACTCTCCCTGTGTCAGACCTTGGGGTGTGTATTCACAAGCCAGTGTTGGTTGGTGCATGGTGACCTGGTGCCTGGAGGCCTAAAGGACCTGCTGCCTCTTCACTGCCTAGCGGTGACAAGTGGAACACAGTACAGAATCATTAGGACACAGCTCTTGCAAACACACTTGAGTTACTGAGGGGAGGAGCTGGCCGGGGTCAGAAAGGCAGGTTCAGGCTCAAGATCCAGGAGGAAATCCTAACCACACAACAGTGCTGGCCTGATGTGGCAAGTGTCGCTGTCTCCGTCCTCTGGCTACAGCCTCAGGAGGGAAACTTGCCTCATCTGCTGCTCCTGCCAGTCAGTCCCTCTGTCTGTCCTCATCCTAGTCAGCCACAGCACCTGCCACCCTTGCCAGGTCACTCACCCTCTGGCCATTATCCTCATCTGCACCAGAGCTGCTGGTGGTGATGCCTGCCTCCTAAGGGCTGTTGGGAAATCGAAATAAACTCACCGTGTAGGGTGCATGACATGTGTGTGCTCAGTCAGCCCCAGCCACCGCTGTAAATTGCACTCACATCAGCGTTCACTTCCAATGACCAACAGGAAAAGCGTGGGGAATGTTTGTCTTTTTAATTGGCATATACTATCTGCTTAAAATACGCATTTATCACAACATCTTCAGACAGGAAGTACCACTTTCCCTCATCACTGTGGCAAATCTCTAACACGGGCATCTTGGGGAAGCCTCCACTTGGGCTCACAGTTTGAGGGCACTTGTCCACCCTGGCAGGAGAGATATGGCTCTGCGACTGCAGCTGTGGGGGTGGGGTGGGGATGCAGCAGGTCACGTGGCATCTGCAGTCAGGAAGTAGAGCGAGATGAACTGCGCAGCATTTCTTGGAGCTGTTCTGTGCTCTCTCTATTCAGGCAGGGAACCTGTCCACGGAGTTGGTGCCGCCCACTGTAAGGGAAGCGCCACCTTCCTCAGTTAAATCTTTCTGGAAACAGCCTCACAGACTCATCCAGAGTTATGTTTCCAAGATGATTCTCAATCCTGTCAAGCTGACGATGAAATGTCACACCAGATGCACGAAACACTTGGGGCATTTGCTGTCGCCCCACACGTCTTCTCGTCCTTCTTCCCACTGGTTTCCATCTCGTCAAGTTAGTCTCCCACTGTTTCATGGTTTTGTTTGTTTGTTTGTTTAATTAAGGTGGGGTCTTGCTATGTAGCCCTGGCTGTCCTGGAACTCACCGTGTACACTGGACTGGCCTCAAATTCACTGAGAGCAATCTGTGTCTGCCTCCCGAGCACTGGGATTAAAGGTGTGCGCTGCAGTTGGACTTTGCTTAGGGCCACCAGCTCACAAGCAACGATACAGAGACTTATTAATTATAAAAACTTGGCCATTAGCTTAGGCTTGTCCCAATAGCTCTTATAACTTAAATTAACCAATATTTTATTAATCCATTTCTACCACATAGCTTTTACCTCTCTCCCATTCTGTGTGTACGATTCGGTCCACGTCTTGGTGGCGTCTCCTGTGCTCCTGGATCATCTCGTTTCCTCTCTCTGCCTGGAAGTCCCACCTATCTCTCCTGCCTAGCTATTGACCATTTAGTTCTTTACTAAACCAATCAGAAGGTGTGTAAGGCAGAAACACATCTTTGCAGTGTAAACAACTATTCTGCAACAGTGTGCCATCACACTCAGCCTGTTTTCATGTTTTTAAAACCTAGATTTCACCTATCATTGGTGTTTGTCTTTTTGAATCTGACTTATTTTGCATAACATGATACTCTCCAGTCCCGCTGAATTCCCTGAAAATGTCATTATCTTGTTCTTCAAGACCAAATATAAACTCCATTGTGTTCCTGAACCAATTCTCTTCAGTCCTTGAGCCTTGGCTTTTCACAGTCTAACTAATTATCCCCTAGGAACAGAGGGAAATAGGGAGGGAGGGAGGGGGAGGGAAAGAGGGAGGGAAGAAGGGAGGGAGGGAGGAGGGGAAGGACGGAGGGAGGGAGAAGCCTAGCATC